CATTTACTGGCAAGAGCAGTTGTAAGCAGTGGCATATTTTCTTGATTTGGACTACTGGATTAATAGTAAGGACATTTTTCCAGAGTTCTGTGTGCCACTGTGCTGGACCTCAGTAGGAAAAGCTGCTTCACCTGAGAGCAAGGGAGAAGGAGTTTGTCAGGGAGTTTCTTTGGGAAGATAAAGAAGAGACTGGAGAGGAGTAGGAAAACATACGTCATGAGTGAAATGGGAGAAAGGAATGGGAATAAGGACCAGCAGAGCTGGATGAAGAAGGTCCCTATAGAATCGTAAAATATCCTGAGCTGGAAGTGACCCTCAAGGATCTTTGAGTCCAGCTCCTTTTTCCACACAGCATCACCCAAAATCAAACCCTGTGTCTGAGAGTGTTGTCCATACATTAAAAACAGACCATGCATGTGTTCATTTAAGTGCCATTCTGCAAGACGTAGTTTTTCCAGTTTGTACAAAATTCTGAAATTCCATTACTGGGGGTGGAGGAAATGTTCTGAAAAGGCAATGGAAAGCAAAGAATGGGGGGGGGAAGAGGGGGAGTCAAACATTTTTGAGACTAAATTATATGTGTATTTTCATATGCAGCTGCTTATGAACAAGGCTTCCTTTTCTGTGGGATGATAGCCACAGAATGTGGGAGACATGCTGGATTTGAAAGAGGTGCAATTAAAGAAAATAGTCATTGCAGAAAGAAAATGCAGAAAAAGGTACTGCAGAAGGAAAATCATATAAAACAGCTATTTCACAGGTGGTCTTTTTAGTGTCCTTTCTTAATTTTCTGGGTATCTGATTTGATACTCCAGGGTCTCATTTGCAGAAGTAGCGATAACTTTTGAATGTTGTTGAAATCCATGGAAACTGTCCTCAGCTATGCTAGCTGCTGTATGTGGTAAATCCTTTTAAAAAAGCAGGTCCAAGGTATTTCAAACAGAGCATCCAGAATTAGCACCTATTTTTCACCTTTATCTCTCTGTGTTAGAATTTCTCATCTGTAAAACGCTAATGCTGATAAGCTAATGCTAATGGGCGGCAAATGTGGCATCTCTTACTGCCAGAGAGCTGAACTGAACCAATTCAGCGGTTTTCTTTCAATACAAGCTTTCGTTTCTGGACTGAGCATGAAAGAGTAATTGCTTTCTTTCTATAATCATAATTCTGTGGGAGAAAGTCATGTGAACAATCTCAAGCCTCTTGCAGAGAGGACTTGGAAAATATTTTTAAACTACTGAACCCAAGTCACTTAATCCTTCCTGCTTACTGCAATGTATTGAATTTTTGAGACCAACCTAATGTAGCTTTAGCCAGTCTTGGTTGTTGATAAAGGATTTGAAAAGAAACAAACAATAACAAAAATAAAACAACACCGCTACAAAAAAAAAAACTCTTTATTCAGTATAGATTCTTCTTAAATTTACCAATAAATAAATAAATATTCAGGAATATCAAGAACAGATATGTGGACTTAATACACAGTAACTAATCACGACAGGGAACTGGGTTTGTTTAGCTTAGCGAAGAGAAGGCTCCAGGGAGACCTCACTGTGGCTTTCCAGTACTTGAAGGGAGCATATAAACAGGAGGGGGAATGGCTGTTTACGAGAGTGGATAGTGATAGGACAAGGGGGAATGGTTTTAAACTGAGACAGGGGAGGTTTGGGTTAGAGATTAGGATGAAGTTTTTCACCCAGAAGGTGGTGACACACTGGAACAGGTTGCCCAAGGAGGCTGTGGATGCCCCATCCCTGGAGGCATTCAAGGCCAGGCTGGATGTGGCTCTGGGCAGCCTGATCTGGTGGTTGGTGACCCTGCACACAGCAGGGGGATTGAAACTAGATGATCATTGTGGTCCTTTTCAACCCAGGCCATTCTATGATTCTGTAACACAATCCTATAACTGTTTTCATGAGTGACTGACCTCTGTTCTCAAATTAGATGCACGCATGCATAACTACATAATTGGAAGAGTTATATGAACAAAATATTTCACTTAAAAATAAATAAGAACCTAAAATGCCTGACAGTGGGAAAATAGAATCCACTCTCTGAAAAAATGTAAACCTGAAATGTAAGAAAACATTTCAGCATTGTGTGTCACCCCAAGTAAAAGGTTCTGTGGGTTGATAAAAAAAAAAAAAAAGCCAAAAGCTGTTGCTATCACTTTTCTTCTTATTCTATCTGTGTAATGCATTAAAACTATCAATAATGACTCTGAAATTGTAAGAAGCAAGGCTAATTTTTGTTTATCAGGCTTCTCAGTTGCAGAAATTGCTGTGAGATGCAGCTTAAAACTTTTCCAATTATGGGCCATATTTTCTACAGTAAGCAATGAGGTTGGAGGCCTGATTGCTTCAGACTTAGCTGCCAGCCCTTATCTTTTCCTCTCCTGCACTTTTGTGGCTGCCATTTAAACATTTCTTTTGGATTTGTGTCAGCAGTCCTGGTACCATGTAAAGATTAACAGTACCATGGAGCAGCCGCGTTACCTGCGGGAGCAGCAAAGGCCAATTCTCTAACGCTCAGCTGCTGAAAGAGAGACGCATGACAGCAGCATTTCACCTTAATAGTGCTTACCTCTTCTAGGGTATTAAACACAGCGCTGTTGAATGGTCTCCCTATCATCTCCAGGGCTGGTGAGTACTTCAGAGCAGATAAGGAGCCACACAGGCTGCTTGACCTTTCTTACATGGTGCAGCCAAGTGAGGGGACAGCACGCACCTGCAGCACATGCATACTCCTAGCAAAAGCACACTGAACACCCTTGTTTTATCTGGTCCTGTGTTGTTAAGCCACTTTCCAAAACTTGCCACTTGCTACCGTTGTTTGTTATTTATGGTCTTACTTTAACAATAATCATACAATCATGCAATCACAGAATGGTTTGGGTTGGAAGGGACCTTAAAGCCCATCCAGTCCCAACCTTTTGCTGTAGGCAGGGCTGCCCCCCACCAGCTCAGCTGCCCAGCGCTCATCCAACCTGGCCTTGAGCACCTCAAGGGGTGGTGCATTCACAGCCTCACCAGTCTCAGTAAAATTTTTTCTTAAAATCTAACCTAAATCTTCCCTTGTAGATTAAAGCTGTTCTCCTTTTTCCTGTCACTATTGCACCATATAAAACGTCGATCCCCCTACTGATTGGAAGCTCCCTTCAATTACTGGAAGGTCACAATGAGGTCTCCCCAGAGCCTTCTCCAGGCTGAACAAGCCCAACTCCCTCAACCTTTCTTCATAGGAGAGATGCTCCAGCCCTTTGAACACTCTCGTGGCCTCCTCTGGACCCACTCCAACAGCTCTGCGCCTTTCTTGTGCCAGGGGCCCAGACCTGTATGCAGTATTTCATATGGAGCCTTACAAGGGCAGAGTAAATGGGAAATTCTAGGGATGTAGACTGATTTAGGTTGAGGACTGTCTCATCAGCCAAAACAAAAGTGGAGCATGTACATAGAAAATGTGTTAAGTGATAAATACAACTTGTGTAAAGTCCCACAATAATCCAGAGCCTGGGTCTGGAACAGAATTAAAGTTGCCAACGCTTTTGTCTACCATCACACTGCTCTATCACTAGCTAATTTGGACTTGGTGTTCCTGATGGTCTTTTGCAACCTAAATCATTCCATGATTCTATTATTTCCCGGAATTTGGACTTTTTTGTGCTTTTTTACATAAAACTACAGCAAGGCAAAACAAAGACAGTTGAATATTTGTACCTGGGAGCAAAATGTTGATAATGCTGGCTGCTACATTGATACGATATCCACTGCTACTGCTGCCTGGGGAGAGTGCATTAGCAGAGCCCAACAAGATGAAGTGCTGCATTTTTTTACTACCATGGTTGGCAGTTTTCCTGTTAAATAAGAGCTGGCAGAGAATATAAGGTACTTCTCTGAGGGCCAGACATTTTGTTCCCCTTACTGAGGATTTCTGTGTTACTCAATGAACTGCACGGCCCCCGCGCTTTTCTTCCATTTCCCCCCCGCCCCCTCCTTTTTTTTTTTGTCTTATTTGGACTCCATTTTAGTTGAAACTGTTCAGTGCTCTTTTTCATCAGAGTCCTTTACACTTCTTTCCTTTTTCTGGAAAGCAGCTGGAGTTTAAGCTGGAGCAAATATAAATGCTTTGAAGTTACTTTTTGTGGATGTGATGAATAATTATTTTTACAATGCATGAGATAAAAAAGCCACCTGGATTAAAAATAAAAGCCTCTTGGACATAGCACTCGGCCATCTGCTCCCTGTGACCCTACTTGAGCGGGGAGCTGGACCAAATGACTTCCAGAAGTGCCTGCCAACCTCAGCCATTCTGTGATTCTGTGTGTAGTTTGGTCCTGTTACATTTTCCTTCCATTAGGACTCTACATGTACCCAGCAAAAGCACAGCACAGTGTGTGTCCCAGCTGGGAGGCAGACCGTCTGTTTCAGTTCACACTGTGGTCCACCAATGGTATCCTAGGGAGGTATGGGCAGATTTATTTTTGTCAGGTACACTCTGAGGTCCATTGACACATGCAGCAGAACATAAAGCAACCTCATGCCAAATGAGAATTAAGGCGATTACCTCTGGTCACACTGGTCCCTTTTCTCCTCTCACTTCTTTGCCTGAGTGTCATCCTGTGCCTAAATGGTTTTTTAAAAGAAGGAGAGAGACCCTGGAAGAAAAAGAGGGCTTTGCATTCATCCCATTGAGCAAAGAGAACTGGCTGAGTCCATGTCGTTCTTGTTTTGTTTACACAATTCTGCGTAATATTGGTGATTTCTTTAGTAAGAAAACTGGCCACTGAAGGGTTCTGTCTTGGTGGAACTGGACTAGAACTGATCACTAACAAGGGTGAATCTTTATTATGTTCGTAAGGAAAACTTTAAGAAGTGAAGCAAAGAGATGTGAGTGAGAACCAGAGGACCAATGAGCTGTGTCTTCTGACTAATTGCACCGACTAACATGAGTAGCCTCTTTAGACCTCTCTGTCCTGTCTCTCTTTGGCTTTGCATGGAAAGGAACTCCAAAGGCAGAGAATGAAGAAGTGATGGTACCCTGCAGCAGCAGCTGGAGGTAAGTAAGTTGTTTCCATGCAGGAGGCAAGTGCTGTCTGTGAGCTTGATCTAGGCTCATGCAAGTGCTCCCAGCTACTAGGCTCTCATTTGTCCATCCCAGCACCTTTCTCCCTGCTACCAAACTGTGCCTGAGGTGTGATGATGATGATCCCTTTTCTGTAGAGCTGCTCTTTTAAAAGCCTCAGTGATGCTTACTATTTGCAAGCAGGTAAGTATTGATCATTTTTAGCAACTCTGCAGCACAGCTTAAATTCTCCAGCCTGTGGGATGTGAGCTGGTGTTTTGGTCTCAGTGACAACCCCAAGACATTCAACTGATCTCTTTTGTTATGACCTAGCTCTTGTTTTGAGGTGTTGTTAAGCGAATTTCAGGGCTGATGAGACTACAGTGGTTGTATTCCAATTAGGACAATGTTTTCTAAACTGCCTATATACATGCAAAGATCAATTAAGTGTGTTTCAGCCTTTTTCTTCCTATTTTTTCTCTTCTTTTCCCATCTCCTGTCAATCTTCTGTTTCTACCACTGTTTTTCTGCCTCTTTTCATCATTTTGGTACTACTAGCTACTGAAAAGAATTGAGTAGGATGCTTATATCTGAACTAACAACATCATACAGCTCTTATAGTCAGTTCTACTCTTTACAGATGTAAACAAGGGAGAACAATACAGGAAAAGCAGATGTGTATTTTCTGATTCTATATGAGAAAAATGAAGCACATTTGCTTGGTATATGATGAATACCTTCAGAGGAGAATACACCTGAACACAAAAATTAATGATGTGGAAAAGTGTCAGTATAATTCCTTTCAGTTTCCTATGGACCCCGTCTAGATCATACTAACTTCTATCTGTCTGTTTCTGTACATTAATACAGTTAATAATCCTGATCTTACATTTATCTTTGATAGAACAGAGTAGAGATCTCAAGGCCATGCCTGCATGGAAGCACAACTGATTCATTAACAAGATGTAGCCAAAGTACCTCCCCTCTGAAAGTTTTTCTGGCAGCAGCACAAAGGGAATTACTCTGTCCTCTGACAGCAGATGATTTCCTCTCATTTCTTTTCTTTGGAGCTCCTCTGCTTGGTATGGAAAAATTAAAAATTCATCCTACTAAGGGGCTCAGGCTTGGTTTTGTCATTTAGTGGCATAGAGTAACCAGAGTAACTTGAGTGCCACCCTGCACCTGGAAGTGCTTTATTTAAATACCAACCAGTGTAACTTTGAGAGTAATTTAAAAACAAACAAACAAACAAACAACAGCACCAACATTTGTTGTGATGTAGGTATTATAAATATGTCACACAAAAAAGATCAGTCCCACTAGGAAGGATGAACATTTCGTGGATGGTACATTTCATGGATGCAGTACAGTGGCTTGCAGTTACCCGGAGATAGACTCAAATCCTAGTGAAAAGAGGGTTATGTTTAACTCAAGTCTCCTATATCTGAATTTTCTAACTGTAGAGTTGTTTTCTAAAAGGAGAGAGCTGTCTCACTTCCCCTGTTATTTTACATGTTGTCTGGCTGACCAGGAAGGATCAGCAAGGCAGCACCTGGTTTGTGGAACATTTACCAATAAGAACCTGAGTGTCTTTGGGCTTCAGGTGTCCTCTGGGTGAGATGGCAGGATCTTCAGAATTTCATTTACAGCTATAGTTGCTCCTTACGTGGTTTAGAAGACCCTTTTGTGGACTAAACCAGTGAGGAGTGCACACTGGGACAATAGCTCCAAGGATGGTCTATGCTTGGCCAAGCGACATGGTTATGCAGAGTCCCTGTGTCTGGGCAGGTTCACTCTATGTGCATTATCATTCACACCCTCTGTCCAGCTGCTCTTGATTGAGTGCTACAGTGCTTTTACGTTCACGGAGACTTGAAACTAGGAAGTCGTGCAGGGCCCTTTCAGTCTTTCAAAATTAATCATTTTAACTTAGTTGTTTTTAATTAACTGCCAGTATTCTTGCACCTATCTACAGTCAATAACAGCAAGTGTGGTAAATGTGGCTGGTAAGCATCACTCCTGACAAAATGGGAATTTTGGTCTCCTGTTAATCCAGTAGATCAAGGCCTTCAGGCTGGCTGCTCAACTCATAGCATACAATATCAACAGTAATGACTGTCCTCTACTGGTAGTGATGCTTGATATTTTAAACTATTAAAATTAATAACTGTATTTTCAGCCTTGTCAGATTCATTATGTTCTCCAAGGACACGTGCCCCCATTTCACTATTACAGGGAAGTTGTTCATCAGGCATGTTACCCCAGCACCCCAGGAAAGTTACAATTGAGAAGGAGAGCTACATCAAGCTAATCAGGGTTACCCTGATCCAAAAGACCACTTAACAGTGGGAAGATGCAGTAATTAGGTGAGAATTCCCTGTTTGCAGTGCCCAGTGCTGCATGCACCTTGTGGCACACAGGGAGGGACTGAGCTGGGCAGCCTGTCTTCATCTGATGATATGCAAATAGACTTCCAGCAAATCCCTCACTAGTACCAGTTGGCTCAACTTTCACTGATCTTTATAAAAGCTACAAGGAAACATCAAAAGAGCAGAATTTGGCCCCATAAAAGCCAAGAAATAACCCATTTATGGGTCTCATTGTAAGGTATTAGCAGTTTAAAATTACAGTCATTGTGTGACACAAAGAACATTCTGAACAATCCATTCCCTTATGGATGTGATTTAAAATTAATTCATTCTTCCGCCTCACTCCATTATTGCCAGCAAACCAGTGATGTGGAATTACTTACTTCTAAGCCATATGGTCTTCTGAGGACAGATACCTCCTTAGCTTGCTCTAATTAATACATTTCGTGTATCAGAAGTTCACTCTGATTTTTAATTTTATGTTAACTAAACTGAACAAAAGGAAAAGTCAATTTTGCAATTAGAGGCTAGGGATGATTTTTGTTGTTCTTCTCATTTCCTATTTACTTCAAAAACAAAGAGACTGGCACCCTGGCATGTCAGCACTTCCTAGAAAAGCTTCCTAGAGTATGTTGGAGAAGAGATCAAATGGTGTTAAAAGCCTGTTTTTAATTTTCATGCTTCTACCTAAAAATGTGATTCTTTAAAAGGATTTCTTGTGACAGAATCACTTCTGCATGTAACTGCACGGAGAGCAAAGATCTAGACCTTGCTGACTCATTTAGCAGAGATTTCTTGATTTTCTTTAAAGCTATGGTTTTTGTTTTGTTTCCTCCCCTGCTGTTTTATTTCCTGCTAAATACAGAAAATGTAGCCCTCTGTGCCCCATCAAACCTGTGGCCATCTGAACAAAATAGAAGCAGGCACCATAAGAGGAGTAGAGTTCTACTTCAGCAAGTCCATTCAGAGCACTTCCAAAGACCAATGTCCTGAATTACAGAACATTTTAAAATTTTTATTTTAACAACAACAAAAAATATTTTATACAAAGTTTTTATTTTTTATGTGAAAAAATTATAGATCTGTGTGATACTTTAGTGGAATTTTATATTATAATAGTGGGCCAATAATAAAACCTGTTAAAATGTCAGTGGAAGTGTAAGCCAGATTAGGCCTGACATGAATTCACACATTCTCCTTGAAGTGTATTTTCGCTACCTTTTCCCTATTTTATATCTCATTAATCAAGCACTGTTTCCTTCTTTTTTCTTTATCTATGTGATTACCATCTATGGGAGTATATTATTTCAGAGAAGACCTTTCCCTGCAACTGAGAAGCACAGACAGCTTATTTTAAATGCCAAAAATTAGAGGGGAAAAAAGAGAGGACCTACTGGAACTGCAAATAAAGTCCTGAAATGGATTCCCTCCACTCCTCTTCTTGCCGTTGAAACAAAAGCAGCTTAATGTTTGCCTGTATCAGCTAGTTTTATAACAAAATGTGAACTAGAAGGAAAATCTGTTCACCCTAACTACTAGTGAAATCTCCTGAAAGAGCACAAGAAACTTGCTGATGTTTGAGTTTGCACAGAAACATTTCAGACCTCTGCACAGTCTGAAATCCCTTGCTATTTATTTCCTTTTTTAAGACAATTGTTAGTTCTGCCCATAAAAAAAACCTTCAACCTGCAACCCAAAGGAAGACAGGAGAGGTTTCTCACCAGCCACTCTGCCTAACCTTGATGATTACACTGGAGAATCAAGAGCACCCATTTAGTCAGTAAGCACAAGCACAAATCATCCGTGCAGCTCATTAACATCCACATAACAACAGCTGCTGATATCACTCCTTCCAAGTCCCCAGCAGCTATTCATTTAGTCCCATAACCAAAAAATCCTCACTTATTCCAGAGTATCAGTGCCCATAAAGAGAGCTGAAGAGGTAGAAATAATGCAAACTAAATTTCCATCATACCTGATGAAGGTGTAAACTTTCCAAATAGATGTGTTGCTAACACACATCCTCTTCTCTTCCTTCCAGTGCTGTGCAAAATTCTGCACCCCATGAGGCCTAGGAGAATACTGATGAACATAGTATTAGAAACCAAAACTGTGATATCAGAACCTGCAGGGAAATAAATTGTATGGCTTAAAATATGTTTGGATGCCCTTAACTCCAGTAATTTGGTCACTCATCTAAATTGTGTACATTTGCATATTTATTTTTGTCAACACAATTCTCTTAGGTTATAGTTAGTGTTGCATCTTTCCTTAAAGAATAAATTACTTCTAGCCTTGAGGCAAGCTCATGAAATAGCTGACAGCTTTCTGTATATCTGCAGCATAGTTAGATCATAATCCTGTTTTCAGGAGGCATCTATACTTAGTTCACTATGTTCATAATGATGAAATAATTATGGTAGTATTAAAATTCATCCTTTGCTAGTAACAAGCTGCAGAAATCTTGAATGCTCCCTAGGCTAAGGTTCACAATCTGTTTAAATTGGCCTTTCATGGCACAAGTAAACAGCTTTAATTATCTGGGCAGATAATCAAAGTATTCTTAGGTCTGGGGGTAAGGTTGTATTAATCATATCCTACCTCTAGAGAAGGTCCAATTCTATCAAGCACTTCATGAAAAGGCATAAGTGCTTACTCGGTAATAACACTTATTAGCCTTCACAAATTATGAAAATATTATGGGTGCCATAATGTCAACTCTGTGAAGCTGGAGCTTCCTTATAACAAATTACTGAGGGTCAATTTCCGTCAATCAGCAAAAAGTACTGAATGCATATAGATATATGCCACCTGCATTTATCGCAAGCAAGAGCTGCTGCTGAATAATGTGCCTGTAAAATATACATCTGTGTTGCACAGTGCATGCCAGAGGCACATTGAGCCCCAATGGAACTGGTAAAGAAGCTTTGGGCTTAGCTGAAGTCAACTGAAAAAGGGAAAGGGCATTGCACCACGAAGATTAATGGTTGAGGCTAAAAATCCTTTCTCACTTCCCTCCCTTCCTCAGTAAATCTGCCCCAGAACTCATTTGCACAATATTCAAGCAATGGAAAAGACATCGATCAACAGGTAGTATACCAAACCTGAGATTTATTGAAGTCTACATTTCCTGTTTTGCCTTGTCACAGGCTTCCAAATATCTTATGCAGTGCTGTACTTATTTCATTACAGGTCCTCAGTAGCTTTTCAGTTACTTCTATTATGTGAGCTCAGAGGAGAAATAAGGTAGAAATAAATATACTGTCACATTTCCAGACGAATTGCTCAAAATGCTAAATTTGCCACCAGAA